CTCTTCAGTGTCTAATTTCCTCCCTGACCCTAGTGGGCGGAGGTGGTCTCTTGTTTAGGTTCGCTTGTTCAGCCATGCTGCGGGGAGCGAGGGGCGCTGCAGACATATGTCACTGGCCTGTGTGGGGAGCACACTCAGTGTTCCGGTCTCACTGGGTTTGCCCCCGCTCACGGGTGTGTGTTTTCCCCGTCTACACTGCTCAGGCTCTCGGCTGCTCTATATGGAGCGAGCCCTGCGTTGCATGCGGTTCCAGTTTTCGGGTACTCCACAAAAGTGCAGACTCGATTGTGCCTGCGTTTGTGCCTTCCCCGGCCTGAGCAGCTCAGGCACCCAGGAGCTTGATGGGCGCACTTTCCCCGGTGCGGTGTGCCTTATCCCCTCCACGGTCCCTGCCTCAGTTTCTGCGCGCCCAGTCGGGTGCGCCTTGTGTCTGTTCTCGGGAGCTGGCCTCTAGCCGCGACCCTCCCAGCGGATGTCAACCATCCAGAGTCTCAGGAAGTCTTTGGTTAGAAACTGGGAGCCTGTTTGCAGTTTGGTAGGGGTGCCTTCTCTGGGGCCGAGTTTGCCCCTTTCCCCTCCTCCCTGCCTCCTGCAGGTGGGGGATGGGCTGGTCCACAGCTGGCAGCTCTTCTCTGGGATCGGTCAGTTCTTCCTTTGTTTGGGAACGGGCTGCAGTGTGTTCCGACTGATTGATTTCTTTCTTCCTCTCGCTGTCCCACAGTTTAAGTTGCTATCTCACGTTGGCTCCCTCAGATTGCCCTCAGGGCATTCAGGCCCGGTCCTCACCCTAAGCAGTGCCGCCCGCTCCTCTCGTTCGGCCCCCACTTGCTGGTGGTGGATGCAGGCGTCTGGGTTACTTTCCTGCTGGGAGTTGCTTTTAGGCATGTAATCTGTGGGTTTTATTTATTTTTCCTCCTAGTTAGGTTGCCCTCTGAAATTCGAAAACTTCCCCCAGACCCGCCAGTGAGAGGGTTTCCTGGTGTTTGGAAACTTCCTTTATTGTGATTCCCTTCCTGGGACGGGTCTCTGTCCCTAGCTCATTTGTCCCTAGCTCTTTTGTCTCTCTTTTTATCTTTTATATTTTGTCCTACCTCCTTTCGAAGATGATGGGCTGTTTTTCTGGGCACCTGATGTCTTCTGCTAGTGGTCAGAAGTTGTTTTGTGAAGTTTGCTCAGTGTTCAAATGTTCTTTCGATGAATTTGTAGGGGAGAAAGTGGTCTCCCCGTCCTGTTCCTCCACCATCTTAGCTCCTCCCCCAGAATTGATGCTTTTGAACTGTGGTGGTGGAGAAGACTCTTGAGAGTCCCTTGGACTGCAAGGAGATCCAACCAGTCCATCCTAAAGGGTTATCAGTCCGGGATAATCATTGGAAGGACTGATGTTGAAGCTGAAACTCTAATACTTTGGCCACCTGATGTGAAGAACTGACTCATTGGAAAAGACTGATGCTGGGAAAGATTGAAGACAAGAGGAAAAGGGATCGATACAGGATGAGATGCTTGGATGGCATCACGGACTCAGTGGACTTGAGTTTGAGGCAACTCCGGGATTTGGTGATGGACAGAGAGGCCTGGCATGCTGCAGTTTGTGGGGTCACAAAGAATTGGACACGATTGAGCGACTGAACTGTACCGAACTGAGTCTTATCTATATTAACACTCACAGAACATTTCTGCTGAAACTGATCCTGTTTTCCTGTGAATTTTTCTTTGACTTCTTTTAACATTCTGATGCATGCATGAGTGCTCTGTCATCCAACTGTTTGTGACCCCGTTAACTGTAGCCTGCTGGGCTCTTCTGTCCGTGGAATTTTCTAGGCAAAAATACTGGAGTGGGTTGCCATTTCCTTCTTCAGGGGATCTTAACCCAGGGATTGAATCTGCATCTCCTGCATTGCCAGGCAGATTCTTTACCACTGAACCACCAGGGAATCCCCAGTATTCTGATGCATGTAATAAATCATCTGTATCTTTTCAGGCTCTAAATTTTATAGGATAGCTTTCTAACTGATTAAATCTTTGTATTTTTACTGAATGTGACAATATTTAACTCATGCAAAATTAGCCATAAATATGTGGTGGAAAAATAAAGATAATAATTGGTTTATTTATTTCTGAAAGCTGTGTGTACAGTGTAGTTTGTTACAGTATCCCACTCTGACTTGTAAAACAAAAGTTATTTTTATAAATAAAAATATTGCATAATTTGAAAATATAAAATTTTTTTATTCATAATTATAAAATATTGTACATTTGAAATATAACTTTGTAGAAGGTAGAACGCTAATTACTAATAGTCAACTATTTTATCTAGTCTCTTAAGCTTTTTGCTCAGTCACATCTGACTCTTTGCAGCCCTATGGACTATAGCCCACCAGGCTCCTCTGTTCATGAAATTTTCCAGGCAAGAATACTGGAATGGGTTGCCATTTCCTACTCCAGGGGATCTTCCCAACCCAGGAATCAAACTCGCATTTCCTGCATCTTCTGCATTGGCAGGCAGATTCTTACAACTAGCACCACCTGGTCTGTTAGGTTGAACCAAATGAAATTGCTCTTTGTTTAGTTAAAATCAGTCAGATATTGGCATGTTCATATGGTTCAACCTATTTGTGTAAAATTTTTCTCATAATCTTAGGATAAAATTCAGTATTTTTGTAATGTATAAACCAAGTCTTGTGCTTTGGATCCAGCTTTTCTGTTGCCTTGAATGTATTAGGTGCTCAATAAAGAAGTCCATTGGATGCCTGAGAATATAAAACTGATAGTAAAAATTCATTGAATGCTGGAACGCATTAGACTGTCATTCAGTAACTGCCAATTGCCTATGATAGGTAACATCCAATGTCAATTTTTAAAACCTTTTTCACACTTTAGCATCTGTGCAGATCTTTCAGAAGTCCATGTGTAAAAATCATTTACCTTTTAAAATGAAATATAAATACTTCTCTTTGCATGTTACATTAAAATAGTTAAGGGTATTTCTAAAGAAGTAAATGACAGAACTACTGTCTTCACATAGTGATAAAAGTAGTAAGAGGAATAGCTTATTTGAAAAGCATAGTATTATAAAAACACTTTATTTAATATTTATACTTTTACATTAGAACTTCATTAAAATATTATAATTAATCATTGTTTTTATTCCTCTAAAAGAGAATGTTTTAATGGCAATCATGCTAGGCAATATAATTTTAGTTTTATCTAATGCTTACAGAAGCTCTCTATGGTAGAGAATGGTATTTCTGTTTACATGATTTCTTTAGGAAACCTATATATCCCATTATATTATAAGTTTTGAAGTATTAATATTTCTATTATTTTAATCTGGTCTCAAAGAAATAGAAAAGTTATTTCAAATCTTTAGTCTGATTTTCCTAATACTGGATAACAGGAGGAAATTTTAAAGTTTTTTTCATTTTAAACTTGGAAGATTAATATATATATTCATAAAAGCATATATAATGAGTCATAGGCAAACAATTAGATTCGAGCTAGTGTCCTTAATGGGAAAGCATAGTTTTAAAAATGTATAGTGTGTGTGTACACGTGCATGCATGCACAGATACACACACAGTTCATGAAAATGAATATTTAAAGGACTTAGTAAACTATTTAAGCCCAACTCCTTAATGTGAAATCTGAATATTTTATTTAATAAACAACAAAATCTGACCAGGTGCTTTTTCCTAAATTACTAACTGTGGGAATAGAAGAGAAATGAAAGAAAAATTCATATATTTGCTAATTGTTTTTGCCTTCACTGAATGTTAACCTAGTTTGGTGTTTAATGTGATATATTTTTCACTTCACTTTTTTTTCCTTATATATATATTTTCTCTCCCATCATAAATATCTCCATCCTCCCCTTTATTCAGTGTCGTGATATATTGTGTGTGTTTGATTTATTGAAATGATGCTGCACATCTGATGCTTGTCTCTTAGCTTCTATTATTTTCAAATTAATACAGACTGCCTTAGTGTTAAAAGTAGAGATGCGTAAACAATATGAAAAAATTGGTCTTTCCTATGATTAAGTGCTTTCTAACTTGATGCTTAGTTGTATTTATCATTCCTTTTTATTTTTTTAATAGATTGAAGCGTACTAGACTTTCACAGCTAATATAACTACCTAGGAGATGGCATTAACTTCTGTTACTTGTCTCATGACTATTTAAAAAAAAACACCCCTATATTGGTTACTGTGGCTGCTGTAACCAGTTAACAAATTCATTGGCTTGAAACAACTCAACTTTATTGAGTTACAGTTTTATAACTGAGAAACTGGAAATGGATTTCACATTCTAGAGTATGTAGGAGAAAATTTGTTTCCTTGCCCTTTTTAGCTTCTGGAGGCTGTCATGTTCCTTGGCTTATGGCCGTATTCCTCTGTCTTTGAAGCCAAAACAGTGGCTCCTTTTCTCACATGACCTTCTCTTCTGCCTTCCTTTTCTACCTTTAAGGACCCTTGTGATTACATTGGGCCCATCTGACTCTGTATTTTAAGATTGGGTGATTGACAGCCTCAGTTTCATCTGCTATCTTAATTCCCCTTTGACATGTAAGGTAACAAATTCACAAAGTTTGGCGGATTGCCCCATGGACATCTTTATGTGGATTGTTATTTTGCATACCACAATTCCTAAAATGGTAAGTTTTTTGTGATTCAGTGTTACGGAACTAGAATGCGAGGGAAGGACATTATTTCACTTAATTCAGGCCCTTTCTTGATGTCTTAAGACATATAACAGAAGTTTATTCAGTAAAACCAACTCCCTAGCTTTTAACCAATGGAATTGTTTTTTTATTTTCCATCCAATCAGTTTGATAGTTTTTGAAAGTAAGTGTATCTACAAGTATATATATACTGTAGTGCTCAGAAATATATTCTTTTGACCTTTGCTTTTCACTTACTGCTATCATTTGATGTTACTTAGAAGTTATAAAAATATTTTCTTTGTCTCTGTATCTGCTTACCTTTTCAACCTTACTTTTCATAGGATCGGAAACTCCATGGCACAGCTCAGCAACTGCTCCAAGACAGCAAGACAAAAATAGAAGTGATACGAATGCAGATTCTTCAAGCAGTCCAGACCAATGAATTGGCTTTTGATAATGGTGATGGAACAGATATAAATTGTCATTTCTTACAATTATGGGCATTTAGTATAGTACTAAATTAATTTTATATAGGAAAGAAATGGTGGTTCAGAATTAAGGAGGAAAGAGGCATTCTGTTTTTTATCTTGAATTTTTATCTTTGAATTTTGGTGGCTAAAATATAAGATTCTGTATTTTAACATTGTTAAGTGTTTATTTACTTCAGTGTTTATTGATTTTTAAGTACTAACTTTTAATGTAAGAGTTGCTTTCTTTTTCTTGAGTTTTAGTCACTGTGTATTAGAAAGTCAAATAAATGGTTCAATTTTTTTTTTCCTCCTCTAGCCAAACCTGTCATAAGTCCTCTTGAACTTCGAATGGAAGAATTAAGGCATCATTTTAGGATAGAGTTTGCAGTAGCAGAAGGTGCAAAGAATGTAATGAAATTACTTGGCTCAGGAAAAGTGACAGACAGAAAAGCACTTTCAGAGGTAATTTTAAATAAAAATTTTAGCTTAATAAATATTCAAAGAATATAATTATTTAAATGGTACTGTTGTCTTTTCCCTATGTAAGGCTCAAGCAAGATTTAATGAATCAAGTCAGAAGTTGGACCTTTTGAAGTATTCATTAGAGCAGAGATTAAATGAACTTCCCAAGAATCATCCCAAAAGCAGTATTATTATTGAGGAGCTTTCACTTGTTGCATCACCAACACTAAGTCCACGTCAAAGTATGATATCTACCCAAAACCAATATAGTACCCTGTCCAAACCAGCAGCACTAACAGGTATGTAGCATATATCTTCCTGATTTTTTTCATGCATTTTTAACCTATATTTGCTTCTGATTTAATAGTGAATAAAAATGTGTTTATACAGTTTTTAACTATTGTGGTAAGAGAGAATAGAATTTATTATTTTAACCATTTTAAAATAATGGTTAATAATATTTAATAATATTTTAAAATAACTAGAATTCATAGGCATTTAGTATATCCACACTAATTGTACAACTCTAACCAGTTTCTGGTTCTGGGGTATTTTCATCAATCCAAAGGGAAATCCAGGACCCATTAAGTAGTCATTCCCAATTCCCCCTTTCCCCTCAACCCCTAGCAGTCAAAGTTGACTTCCTATTTCTATAAATTTGTCTATTATAGATGTTTCCTATAAATAGAATTTTATAATTTGTGACTTTCTTTGTCTGATTTCTTTCATTTTTCTGTACTCTTTTCAAGGTTCATTCTTGTTATTACATGTATCAATACTACATTCCTTTTTATAGCTAAATATTCTGTTGTACAGCTATATGTCTGGATTTATTTTTCTGTTCATTAATTGATGGACGTTTGGGTTATTTCCACCTTTTGACTACTGTGAATAGTGTTTCTATGAATTTTTGTTTGCAGGTTTTTGTTTGAACACCTATTTTCAGTTATTTCTAGAATATACCTAGATGTATAATTACCAGGTCATTTGGTAATTTTATGTTTATATTTTTGAGGGACCATCAAACTGTTTTCAATAGGGGCTTCATCATTTTACATTTCCAACAGCAAAGCATGAGGGTTCCAATTTCTCTGCATTCTCAACAACACTTGTTACAGTAAGTCTCCTAGATACAAACATGTTCATAAGTCCAATTGTTCATATGTCTAACAAAGTAAGCCTAGGTTACCAAACACAGTCAACTGTATAATGCTGCACTGTAACAGGTTTATAATGCTTTTCACACAAATAGTACATAAAAAACAAAACATTTCTAATCTTATAGTACCTTGAGAAGTACGGTCATACAGTACAACAGCTGGTTTACAGGGACTGGCATCAAGTGAACAGGCAAGAGAAGTTACTTAGTGGAGGAGGGGAAGGAGAGATGGTAGAGTTGAAGGGGTGTCAGCAGTAGGAGATGGAAGGCAAGCTGCTGTTTCACTCACGCCTCATGTTGATCGTACAGGTTCTGGTTCTTTGCTGGATTCAGTTCTGTCTAGCTCCTTGGAAAAATGATTCAGTGATGTTTGTTTATGCTCAGTCTCTCAGTCATGTCCAGATCTTTGTGGCCCCATCAGCTGTAGCCTGTCAGGCTCCTCTGTCCAAGCCAGTGTCTGGTTAGTAGCTCTTTTCTTTTCTCATGATAGATGACACCATAGCACGGGATTGCATTCTGAATGGCTGTTGCAACCTTTCGTGTACTGTTCTATGTTCAAGTCCTGGCCTCAAAAACTATTAGTGCCTCCTCACATCAAGAAAATCCGCTTGCCGTTTGCAGCAGCATGAGTCTCTTCGGTTCTTCAGTTACTTCTTCTTGTCTCTTGTCTTCTTCTTGTCCTCTTGTCTCTGTTTGTCCTTTCTCTGGGCCTCCAATTCCAATAGGTCTTCATTAGTATGCTCCTCGTATGGAACAAGTTCCGTGAAGTCATCCTCTTGCAGATGTAGCTTAAAATAATGATACTGTGCTACTGCACTCTGTATAGTGTGTGCGTGCTAAGTCACTTCAGTCATGTCCAACTCTTTGTGACCCTGTGGACTGTAGCCCTCCAGGTTCCCCTGTCCATGAGATTCTCCAGGCAAGAATTCTGGAGTGGTTTGCCATTCCCTCCTCCAGGGAATCTTCCCAACCCAGGGTTCATACCCACATCTCCTGTGTTCCCCGCACTGGCAGTCAGATTCTTTACCACTAGTGCCACCTGGGAAGCCACTCTATACAGTACAGGTGTAGAAAAATAACAGTCACTTGTAGAGGATGCATACACATGACAGTATACCCCAAACACATGAACTAACTTATATGAATATGATTGGACATGAACACATGTTCACATCTTTGAAAGTTCTCAACTTGAAGGTTCATTTGTGGGGAATTTACTGGATTTTTCCTTTTTTTTTTTATTACTGCCATCTTAGCTTCATTTTTGAAAGTGTGGTAGTGGTAACAAAGTCTCCAACTATTTTTGTAGATTTACTTGTTTTTCCTCTCATTTATGTAAGTTTTTGCTTCATATGTTTTCAGGCTCTGTTGTTCAGTGCATATATGTTTATAATTTTTATATCTTCTGAATGGATTGACTATTTTATCAAAATATAATATCCTTTTTCTACTGTAACAATTTTGGATTTAAAGTAGTCTATCTGATGTTAGTGCAGCCATTCTAGCTCTCTTTTGGTTACTGTTTACACTGAGTATCTTTTTCTGTTTTTTCTCTTTCAACTGATACATGTCTTTGGCTCTAAAATGAGTCTTATTTTAGACAGCATATAATTGGGTCAAGGTTTGGGTTTGTTTATTTTAATCCATTCTGTCAGTCTCTGCCTTTATTTTGAACAGTTTAATCTGTATATGTTTAAGTTAATTACTGGTAAGGTGCAATGCAATTCTGATGCTGACTCCCCAGAGTTAAGTTAAATTTCATAGGTTTATGTCACACTCCCCCACAAGACTGCCTTCATTTCAGACACAAGCTTCAAGCTTGTGGTTTCCCCAGCCACTCACACTTCTGACCAACTGGCTACAAATTTAGGGGTTCCTACTGATGCTGAAGCTGAAACTCCAATACTTTGGCCACCTCACGTGAAGAGTTGACTCACTGGAAAAGACCCTGATGCTGGGAGGGATTGGGGGCAGGAGGAGAAGGGGACGACAGAGGATGAGATGGCTGGATGGCATCACCGACTCGATGCACATGAGTTTGAGTAAACTCTGGGAGTTGGTGATGGACAGGGAGGCCCGGCGTGCTGCAATTCATGGGGTCGCAAAGAGTCAGACACGACTGAGTGACTGAACTACCTACCTACCTACCACCTCAGACAAAGTAATTCCATGGAACAAGTCATAGAATCAGGAAAGCTCTGTATTTATAAGTAAAGTTTTATTATAAAGGCTACAAATTAAAACCAAAGAAGAGACACTTAGGGAGAGATCTGGCAGTTCCCCTGCTGTCAGTATGCATCACCCTCTCAGAACATCAATTTCTGTTTTTAGCCAGTAATCTCACTTTAGCTGTGAGTATTCAGAGTTTTCATTGTGGCTTTATTAGTGGGTTGGCCAAAAGTTTTGTTTGTTTTTTTCCATAAGATGGCTGTAGTAGCACGTAATTGTCTTTAACTTCATTGGAAAAAAATTAGATTGTATTGTGACAGCTGTCATATCAGCACACATTTTTTAAAAACTTGTCAAAATTAATGAATTTTTGTGTAGCCATTTTAATATTGAAGGGGGCAGGAAAGAAGTAACATTTCAGCATGTTATGCTTTATATTTTCAAGAAAGGTAAAAATAACAAATGAAACACAAAAAAGAAAAAATTTGTGCAGTATATGGAGAAGGTGCTGTGACTGATCGAATGTGTCAAAAGTGGTTTGATAAATTTTGTGCTGGAGATTTCTCACTGGATGATGCTACATGGTGGGGTAGACCAGTTGAAGTTAATAGCAATCAAATCAATACATGGTTTGAGATCAGTCAATAGTATACTATGCAGGAGACAGCCGACATACTCAAAATATCCAAATCAAGCATTAACAATCATTTCCACCAGTTTAGTTATGTTAATCACTTTGATGTTTGGGTTCCACATAAATTAAGCCTTCTGGACTGTATTTCTGCATGTAGTTCTTTACTTAAATGTAACAAAAACATTCTGTTTTTAAAACAAATTGTGATGGGCAATGAAAAGTGGATACTGTACAATAATATGGAATGGAAGAGATCATGGAACAAGTGAAATGAGCCACCACTAACCACACTAGAGGCCAGTCTTCCTCAAAAGAAGATGATATTGTATAAATGGTAGGATTGAACTCTTTCTAGAAAACCAAACATTTAATTCCATCAAGTACTGCTCTCAGTTAGACCAAGTGAAGGCAGCACTCAATGAAAAGCATCCAGAATTAGTCAACAGAAAATGCATTATCTTCCATCAGGATAGCATAAGACCACATGTGTCTTTGATGACCAGGCAAAAGCTGTTACAGCTTGGCTGGGAAGTTCTGATTCATCTGCCATATTCCTCAGACATTGCACTTTCAGATGTCCATTTATGTCAGTCTTTACAAAATTCTCTTAATGGAAAAAATTTCAATTCCCTAGAAGACTGTAAAAGACATCTGGCACAGTTCTTTGCTCAAAAAGATAAAAAATTTTGGAAAGATGGAATTATGAAGTTGACTGAAACTTGGCACAAGGTGGTAAAACAAAATAGTGAATATGTTGTTGAGTGAAGTTTTTGATGAAAATGAAAAATGTGTCTTTTATTTTTACTTAAAAAAAACCAAAGGAACTTCTTGACCAACCTAATACATAGGAGTGAGTGATTGAATCATTGGCCACTTGACTGAAATCAGTCTCCAGGCCCCGACCTTTTCCAAAAGACCATGGTTCTGACTGATAGGTGGGTCAAAACATGAGCCCTCTAACCATATGTTGTTTTTATAGCCAGCCCCCATTCTGGAACTGTGTACAGGCCTACTGTGAGTCATTTTGTTAGCCTAAACTCACATGTGGTCTGAGGAGTCCACCATGAATAACAAAGATACTGCTGTTACTAGGGAACTGGCAAGGGTTTAGAAGATCCTTCTTAAGAACCAGGGAAATAAACCAGCCAAATTCATTATTATGGAACAAAAAGGCTTACTTCTACCATTTTGCTATTTGTTTTCTGTAAGTCTGCATCTTTTTTTGGGAATTCTTTTGCTTTCTTTTATGTTTGATTGAATTTTTCTGGTTTACCTTTATTTTATTCTTTCCTTGACTTCTTTTCTGTATATTTTTAAATTACTCTTAGTGGTTACTC